TCATTCTGCACAAAGGATCCTCTCCAATTTAGTATGTCTGTCCTAGATGTGCTATCTATCATTCTTAAACAAAAACAAGACTGGGAGAAACTCAAACTAAAATAACAGTACTCAGTCCATTAGCTAAAAAGGAAAATCCCACCACTGTCTGCAATTACTGAGGCCGAATCTTCATAAAAAAGAGCCACCTCTTGCTGGGGCCCTTCTTTGAAGATCATGAGGATCTGTAACACACAAGACTCAGTCTCAGCCATTCTCACAAGCTGTCCTATGCCTGGTAATATTTAATGAAGAGCCCTTTCTTGGATTTCTTTGTCAAGTCAGAATCCTAAAATCACAGAAATTATCGCCTCGGTGAAGGACAAATGCTTTCCTTTGGGAAAATGCTGATTGTGTCTAACACAGCATGTACAGACACATTAAACCAGGAATTTCTAGCCTAGTGATTTCAAAAGCTACAATTTACAGAATCATTGCAACAGAGTAATAATGAACATGTAAATAAATATATAAAATCACCCCCATACTCCATATAATAAAATGCTACATTTTATCTAGTTTTTTTAAATTTAGTAGTCCTGCAGATCTGAGGTGGGAAACACATCCCATAAGATGCAGTAAGTACACACAGTAAGAACTAAACACACAATTTTTGCAAATGCACAGTGGGTAACATTTCTGACAACAGCAGAGCAGTTAACCTAGTCATAGTCTTAATTATAGCAATGTGAGAGACTTTCAAAATAGCTGCAGTACATTAATTACATTTTCCTGTTAATTTCATGCATTTACAGTACTATACATATAGCCAGCTAGGTACATAAGACTGCAGAATAGGGATTTTTTGGGAAAGAGCATGTATTTTCCCCCCAGAATTCCAAAAACCCAAGACATACCACAGGCATTGGCAAGCAACGCAGGGGCAGAAGTAGATTCTGGCATTTAAAACACCGACTTTTCAAGTTGTCAGCATCTCTAATTTACTTCTTTCTAGATGGATTTTGGAGGTTTTTGAGGTTTGGGGATGGATGGATGTTCCTGTCTCGGTTTTTGCTATTCCAAGACAGGTAGTACAGCGCTGGAATTAATCTCAGTTTAGTATTCTAAAGTCACGCATCTAACCTGAGCTAAATCACGGCTTCCACAGTCTCTAGAGAGGCTCTCCAGAACAAAATTCATTCTACTTTCCTTAAATATTTATCTTAGGATGAAATTAATAGCTCTCCAGAGGTGCCCAGATTCCTCCCTTAAACTTGATGTCTAACTTCCAGAGAGTTAACATCCAGCGAGATGAATCCTGCTCCCTGTATACCACGATTACTGGACATCTTGGCATGAGAGACCCAAGGAAAAAAATAAGACAGTAAATACAAGGGTCTTTTTTCAGTCTGGAATTTGGACCTCCAAGTACATGGGGAGTACAAGGTCCAAACTCCTATGCAAAACTGTTCTTTCATATAAGTCCTGCTCACTGATGTACTTAACCACGTGCATAATTTACACAACAGAAACCCCATCCATTTCCATAGAGCTATCTAGACAGACAGCTCAGAATTATGAATACAAATACACTATTGAATTAAAGCCTTCAAGAGTTGGGAAGATGCTTTCAACAATAAAATCATCATATTAATTTTTAAAATGACCAAAAGAATGACACATCTACCTACACACCATACCATACCAATTGCACACAGATAGTATGGAAGCCTCTTCTTAGTTTAAAAACAGAAGCACTTCAGAGCAAGCCTCTTCTTTTTTTTGGACATATTAGCAATGTTTTTTTAACATTTGCTGCCAAAGCACAGCTTTTACGATGCTTCAGAAAGCCAGACAAGATCAAAGGACAAGATAAAAAAATTGGAATATCCTTAAAAGCAGAAGTTAGATAACATGACTGAGGGATGGTCTAGTGCTGGAGATGACAACCCAGTTCCAGAATAATTAAATTCCTCCAACTGAGGAATTAGCATAATTCCTTTTGGATTACATGAAACTAGAATAAATTTCCCTCTATATGACTGCTTCACAGACAGTCACAGTCCACAGTTACCGGACTTTGCATTCACACTCTACCATACCCTGTAACACCTTTCACGTGTAGACAGACGAAAAGGCACTTCGGCAAAGCCCCACAGGAAATCCAGCACATCTCCTGCCCAGGCTTGTCCTGCTGCACGGATGGAGAAGAACTCAGTCTTCAGGTACAGTAAAACAAGAGTTGGAAACAGAACTGCTATGAAACATCTTCTGCTATTACATTCACTTCACAAATGTAATTCCTACATGAAAACCTTTGAGACTGATATATATACATATATTTGTACATACATGTAAAAAAATTCATACATACACACAAACATATGTGTGCATATAAATATTTATACATACATATGTATAAATAACTATTCACACAAGTATAAAATAGCAGAACTAAGAAGACGGTGATCTATTCTTGCTTTTTTGCAATGTAAAAGGAAGGTCTAAAAGCATGTTGTATTCTTGATCCTGGAAATATCAGAAATGCCAAGTCTGGTCTATCCTCTCTTTGCTGGAAGACTTCTTGGAGGTATAACGCCACAGCCAAATGAGCTTCTTACCCGTTGACTGAAGGTTAAAGTCTACAACTACAGATGGAAGTCTTTCACAATTATTTCACAGCTATTTGAATTAATTATGTGTTAGTAATAGCTAAGTTTTAAATAGTCCAAATAAAAACTTCAATTTATCTTTCAAGTGACAATAGAGAATTCTGGACAAAACCAATTTCAAACAGAAGGTACAACATAAGAAAAAAAATCCTTTAGTACGAACAAAACATCACTTTAAGCCTCCTTTATACTACCTAAAAAGCAACAGAGAATTAAATCGTTTACACATACATGATTACAAAAACACTTACTTGATTCACTGATGCTATAGAAGTGAAACTGTATTATTTACCAAGTTTACCAGTTTGAAGGCACAATGGCGACCACTTCATCCACATCCCCCCATTCTATTTACAATGAAAAATAAACACGAAGGATGTCTAAGAAAAAAAGGAGATAAACACAGATGCACCCTGAGAAGTGACATTTCACAACAAAAACATTTGTTTTGAAACACTATTCTTTGTAAACTCCCATTATCTGAACCTGTGTTCTCCTATAACTAGAACAATCATGTTTAATACTCGACTACAATGAAAAATATTACTTGTAGATAAAAATAAGTTTAAAGTTCAGATCTCAGAAAAATAAACCTGAACATGATTGAAAGAAATGAGGTCTCGCACAAAATTACACCAAAGCTGACATCTGTCAGTGTGAAGAAAAACAAAAACAAAACAAAAACATAAATCAATCTAAAGATCTCTGACAATGTCCAGTTTTCTGGAGAGGAAAAAAAAAAGAAAAAAGGAATGGCATAATCTAGTTGGAAATCCCATAGTGCCATCTGTGTGGAGGAAAAAAAAAATATCAAAGAGCCAACTGTGCATGCCCTTCTTTGGATCTGGAATTCCCAAAAGATTCTGTAAAATTTAAAAATCTGAAGAAAAAGGTCTTTCTATAAAAATCAGATAAATGTTCTGTAGCTGTTTCATGACAAGGTTTATAAATTATTGGCACCAGCACAAAGAGTTCAAAGCGTTCGTTCAGGAGTCACAGAGACTGTCAAATCTTTAATGATTCGTAGGAGTCCTCTAGGAGCGGTTGGTTATTCACTGCATAAACTGAAGTATTCGTTGCCAGTGCTCTTCAGTGCAATAACGTACTTCTGCCAGACAAAATACTTTTCTTCTTATTCCAGTAGGTAATAAGTGCCATCAGCAGAACAACAGTGGAACCAATACCAAATGACAGGCTATATTTCATGGTCCATATTAATCACCAATGGCCAAAAAGGTAAAATTCTAAACTCAAGCTGTACATAGCAACATACCCTTAGCAGTGATACCCAAGAAAACAAACCAAAAGATAAGAACTTAATCCAAGGAAGCGCAAAAGGAAGAAACCTCTAGAATTTGTCCACTGACACATTTTTCCTTCTCCAGAGGCTGAACAGTGTTAAAGAGAGAGAGTGCAGTGGTACTGTGAGCGATCACCTCTAGGAAATACAAAAAAACCAAATACAAAACAAATCCAATACTAAGGTTTAGTGATTATTACATCACCAAATCATACTGCCCTTGTTTCAAACTCACTATATATTCATCGCTGTTTTACCAAACAAAGACATTTGGTTTTACACTTGACAGCAGATTTGATGCCAGTGTAAGGGCGTTGCCTCAAGTTCTACATTTTATGGTACCCCGCATGATAACCAGATTCATCACAAATCAAGTCTCGACCATGACAGACATTTGAAAAGAAAATTGCTCTGGGGTTTTCTACACATCACCAGTTACGGCACTAAGTGCCTGGCTCAAACTTTGTATCCAGTACCAAGAAGCAGCTGGCAATTCTCCCTTTCATTTTTGCTCTAAGTTCAGGAGTTCTTGCATTTGTCTGTTGTGTCGCTCAGGCTGGACTGTAAAATATCACTACATCTATTTCAGGTGGAGGAAGGGAGAAAAATGTATCAAATGCAATTCATTGCCAAAAAAATGAAGACAACAAAGTGCCTTTTCAATCAATTCTTATACAAGCTTAAACAGGTTTTCAAACAACTAATTAGAGGCCAGATCATAGCATGTTATGCTGCAGGCCAAACAAGACTGCTACAGTATCTGTGTATGTATATACATCTGTATACGTTTATATATACGCACACAAACACATATACATAAAAAGGAAGCACTCATCTTTTCCTTACTGCTAAATATTGAACTTTTGCTTTCACCTGGATATTAACATAGTTTATCACGTGTAACACCCTATAAAGGGACACTTAAGAAGACACTATTCATTTTCTTCTCATTAAAGCCACAAATATGGCTGGTATTTAAAAACATGCACCGCCACCAATTAACACAGAGTAAAACAATTCTTAGGTACAATATCAACCTTTAAGAAATGCATAATATATTTAAATGTATTTTACCCATTTGTGTAGATAATTAATACTTTTCACTATTTCATATGGGATTTATATCCTTCTTTAAAAAAGAAAACAAAACAAAACAACAACCAGCGCAAATTCACAGGAAACAACTCTGTCAAACAAATTCCACAGCAGCATATGTAGAGAGTCACTGGGTGAAACTCTTTTTTATGAACACATTAGGAAAGTTGGCATTCAGTTCTAGGACAACTCTATTATCAATCTGTGAACAGAAGGACACATCAAGTAAAGAAAGATCTCTACAAGACTCCAGCAATTTTCTTAAAGATGCAGGGCTTACCATCCTCGTCCCTGTTCAAAAACAAAAAAAGAAACACAACAAATTGTAAAGTTGCTGAGAATAGTCTTCTTTTTAAAGCTGCTAATACTGTGTTATGACAAAAATGCTACAATAACACCTTTTTTTTTTACATTATTTCAATTAGATTTCAAATGAAAAGCTTCTCTGAGACAGTGCAGATTCTGTACCTTTAAGAAGCCTATTGTATATTCTTAACTCACCTGCTTAAGTTATTTCATATTTTTTTTATTGGGGGGCAACTTTACAACTTCAATGGGAAACTCTAACTACAGAAGTCAAGTATCTAAAGCCACAAAACCTCCCAGTGACCAGATGCTGGGCTTTAGCAGCAATACAGCATGCTACGCTCATGCTCCCATGCCTCTCCTGCCCACTGCACCAACCAGTGCAGCACAGGACCTATTGTGGGCTACTCCAACGCCAAGCCCAGCAGCAAGGCATCTAGGACTCTAGTGAGTGTGGGTACTATGCACATGCAGTGGCAGTTGTTCAAGAGACTACCAATCATACATGTATATATATATGCTAACTGTAACAGAAAACATGCTATTTACCCTTGCTAAAAACGTGACCATGGTGACTGAACTCCTAGCAGTCACATAGGCTCAGATCAAGCACAGAATTCAGTTAGAAATCAAATAAATAGGTGTTTATAAGCCTGCACCCTCACACACATTATAGCCAATGGAAATCTAGTCAGTACAGTCAGTGGTGCTTTGCACGTGATTCAGCTGACTGGGCACTAGGGTATGATTCAGTTGCCTGAAGTGCTGAGTGCCCCTTGGGGTTCCTTATGCTGTGTATGACATCCACACAGAGCTGGCAGACAGGACAGTGGATCCAGAGGAGGAGATCCATGCCTTACTGGAATGGCTGGGAGCCAGGCAGGTTATTCTGGGCAAGTGAGCCAAGCCTGGATGTCTACAGTAGGCTGACACTTGCTGATAGACACTTCAGCTTAAACAGCTCCATCGTGAGGTGAACTGCACCCCAAAAAGCCACCTAGTCCCAGGTCTTGTCTATGGCCAGGGTCAACAATGTTTATTTAAAAAAGAAGGAGGAGCAGATTTTAAAAGCAGCTTTTAACTGGTGGATCTTCTCAATTGCCAGCTATTATCAGTTTAGGGATTTCTGAAGCTACCTTTCATGAATGCTACTACTTTTCTGAACTTCTTTATACTTATGGCCCCTTCACGTGAGTTCTACAGTTTAAATACATAACGTTAAAAAAAAAAATCAGCTTTAATCTCACTGCCTATTAATTGAAGTAATTAAGGGACAATGAATCATAAAGAAGCAGTGAGAGATCAATCCCAGTTCACTATTTCTACATCATTCATACTCCTATGGACATCTCTTCTGCTCCCTCAAGGCTGTCTGTTTTCCAGGTTCTTGCATCTCAGATGACCCCTGCTGTCTTGTTTCTGCACTGATTTAGTATGGTTGAAATTGAATGACCAGAACTATACAGAGCTCTGAGTCAGTAACTGTAAAATGAGGTCCTACAGCATTTTCTCCATTTCTTTCTTAAGAAATCCTGACTTTCACTTTGCTTGTTAGAATGATGCTGAGCAACGAACTCATGTCTTCCAAAAACCGTTCACAGGACCTCTTTCCTACAAAAGAGTAACTAATATAAAGCCACCTCCAAATGCTTAGTGTTATTGTGCCTCATGATTACTTTGCACTTGATAGAACAGCTTTCCTCCTGCTTTATCATCTTTTTTATTAAGTATCGTAAGATCATTCTGCAATTTTTCAGAGTTAAGTTCTTCAGCTGAAGATTTTGCTACCCTTAACACCTGCACATTATCCTCTGGGTACAGCATTATTCATCCCTTCGCCCAGATTACTCTTGGTGACCACAGCAGAGATGTACCTTCACAGTGAAAAGAGAGGATACATTCTTATCCTCTGTTCTCTAACTTTGAAACACGCATCACAATCCAGGAGAAGACAGCTCAAGTTACAGAACAACCTCGGCTAAAGCTTTTGAAAATCCAATCCTTTTCGGATTGAATCAGTGCCCACCTTCACCAAGAACTGCAAGGAAGTCTATAGGATTGGAGAGGCGAAACTACCCTCACATGGATGCAGCTCTCCTTCAAAATATCTAATGGCCTTCCATGTCTGCTGACTCTTTCTTACCATTGCAACCATTTCACACAGAGCAGAAGACAATCTGACTGCTTTGTGGCTTCTAACCCGCACCGTTTACAGAAGGTTGTGCCATGTTTGTAACCCTTCATTCCTCTGGTGCTTAGGCTGATTTAAGAGACAGATCACACACCACAAATAAGATTTCCACAGCCCTGTATTTGCACTCATTTAGAACTGCTGCATAAATACCATTTAGTCCTAACAATTCATTATTGTTCAATGTATCGATTTGCTCAAAAGCTTTCTGTATTGGCATTCCAATTGAAGGCAGCTTTCCGGGCTAATCTGGAAAGAACGGCTCTGATGTAGCAGCCTACCTCATCTCCCTTGCTGTGAACAGTGATGGACAGCCAGCCATCCTCCTGCAATGATCTTCTCATATTCGAGCGATCCCTTACATCTGGAGTATCTACCAACCTCAGCACCTCTCCTGTAAACTTCTTCATATCTGAAATACAACTTTAGCATTTACCTTTAGTCAAAGGCTCCTTAATGTCTCATTGTGCCTTACTGTGATTTTGTTTAGCTTTCTAGAGAGTTCCTCTTCCTATTTTTCTTCTCTGAACAGGATTTATTTCCAGAAAGGTGCCTCTGTTTTCAGCAGTCTCCTGTACGATTCTGCATGAGCAAGGGAGTATCTAAGTGTGATCTTCACTTCTATGGTAGGCTCTCAGATTAGTTGCTTTGAGACATCATTTAACATTACCTGAAAATGACCTTTTTTATCATGCTCCCAAATTTTACCTCATCTTTGCAGAGGTAATCGAAGCTTGTCATTATTATTATTACTGTGATTTTTAACTCCATAACCATCTGGTGGTTGATGTGACAATCTCCATGGCCATACACAGAAATTCTGTAACACACTTTAGTTATTTACTTCTCTTGACCATAATTTTACCATAGTATCACTGTCCTACCAGCAGGATCTGCTCTACCATTCCAAACAAAACTCCAGGAACACATTACACTACACAGCTTTTTCCCACCAAGCCTTAAAATTGCTACTGCATCAGCACCTTCATTTTAAACCACATCACAGCCTTTACACTTCCAAGATCCAAATGTGTGTTTCTACAAAAATGCTAGATCGAGATGCCTAGCCACAGATCTTTTGTGTAGGATGTTCTTCGTTCCTTCCTACCTGAACTTCAACAGTTCTCCTACCATTTCATCTAAGACAAACATTTTTAATGGATTTGTAACTAAATAGGTCATCCTAAATTGCATGATTTACTGCACCTTATTTCTTTTTCCTCCTTAGACTTAAAATTTTATGTTAGGAAATATCTTTTTCTATAAGCTAAAGAGGCCAGCAATCTAGCTGGGGTTTGGTTATTCACATCAAAGGTAAGCAACCATCATCTGCAATCTTACTTTTATTTATACAATGTACAATTAATGACACTTTCTTAAAATCACATTCAAAAGCATTTCAGGAGTGTAACACAGCACATTTTCCCTTGCCTTTGAAAAAGTGGCACCGTATCCTGCTAATTACCTATACAGTGCACTTTTCTAGAACTTGGAAGCTTTGTTACTTGCTACAGCCTTTCCTACATGAACTAATCGGCCATTTTTCAGAATAAATACATAACCTGTATATTAAAATTTTGCTATTCAGCTTATTCCTTGGAAAAATTTTCTGGTATCGCCTTGGTAAAAGGTACTTCTGAGTAATGATTTCTTTGCTAGAACAATTATTTTTATTAGCTGTAAGTGATTTCATTTATAATTATCATATATCCAAGTCTTCAAATCCTAGAGCTGTTCAGAAGACCTGTGTATGATTGCCTATAAAAACTGCCAAAGCCCAAATTTCTAGGGCAAGGGATTCTACTAAACAACAAATCATATTTAAGAGTAGAGACCCTGAAAATAACCAGCACTATTCCCTCAAATGTCCTTACTTTTCCTTTCTTCCCCTAGACCAGCCAGACTAGCCTTTTATTCTTTACATTTTATTCAACCTATTGCACACAACTCAAATTCTAAATGTTTGAATTGACTAACTATATGTTGATGCTCTCAAGATAAAACTGAAAAACCTGACAGCTGGCAAGGGGGCAGTTGGACTTTCTGTTGCTCAGGAAGGTGTGGGAGGTGTTGGTATGTAGACAGGAATACAGGAATTTTGCGGTAACAAGGGTGTCTACTTTTCATTACTCTTTTTGTGCAGGACAGAGACAGTCAGGACTTTTGGGAAATGAGGTTAAGACGACTTATTCTTCATCCTTGACAGAAGCTGGTAGCCTCACAGCAACATAACTAAGCAGCCAATATGATGTACAAGAAAAGCTTTTGGCACTGCCAATTCAGGTCGTCATCTGAGCCGCCACATTGCCCAATACTGATCACAGTTTGAAGACTAGTTTCCAACTACAGGTCTAGAGGCATCCATTTAACTTTCGATAGCACTGGATGATGTACTCCATCACTACCAAACTGCCAGATTATCACAGCCAGACCATTCTGCTGCAGGGTGGAAACCTGCCACGTCCAGCAGTGGAAAAGACGAGGGCAGAGAAGGAAACAATACTTGTAAGTAGGCAGCTCAGTATGGCTAAAAGAAAGCTCAGAACTAAAATCTGAAGAAGCACACTCTCACATACTCAGTGGCACACTTACATCATGCTCCCTCTTCCAAACTGTACTACAAAACAGCAGATGTGGATCCAACCCATGATTTTTTTTTTTTTAAGCAGAAATTTACTTTCTGAAGTGTTTTATACACTGCAGCCACTCATCAAACAATGCTTTACACAGGCCAATAGGTTCATGGAACCCTTGAAAACCAGCAATTTTCATCTTCTGATGAGTACTCTGAATCTGTAACAAGGGAACTGCCAGACAATAAGGACAGAGGTGTAGCAAGCCGCAGGACCTACCACCTGGAAACAGCATCCAGGGTTTATCGAACGTTCATTTTGTAATGCTTATACGAACGACATACAATTCAACAAGATTTCTTTCAGAGGCTTAGACTCCTCCAGTCCTGAAGCTATTGTGATGATAAATAATTTATAACCCTAACAAGAAGTTTTCCCTGACAAGTTTAGAAGTTCTAACAACTGCAGAGAGAAACCAGCATCGTATTGTCAATGCTGGTGACTACAGTGCAAGGCAAGACATTCTGATCCCTAGTTAGGTAAGTGCCTGCATACAGCACAAAACCTCAAGCTTTTACACAGTTTTGTTGAAGCAAAAGAAGCTCCCCTACAGCATGCACTGCTAACCCAGCAGCAATACTTCTACACCATTCACAATGCATGTCCAAGGCAGACATTTCTGTACTTGGGAGATGACAAAGGATATAATGAGAGCACTTCTCATTCATTCACACCACAGAGAGGACCCACTGTTCAAGGCTACTCTTGCAAAGCTGAGCACTGACCTCAGGCCTCTAACAGCTTCAGACCTGTTGTCACACTTCTTCAAAAAGGACAAAAACATATTAAACATTTACATAGCTTATAGTAGCAAGGTGGCCCTACATCAGCTGCCGAAAGTTAGAGCATATACAGAGACCTATGTACCTTGGTACTCCTGCTCAGTAAGAGACCAGCCCTTTAGTTCAGAAAACAGACTTCTGCACTCACATGGGAACACCTGGCAAGTCTACCTCCAGATGACCCGATGTGGTTCTACTTGACCACTCTTTCAACCACAGATTGTAATGGTTCCCATATTCAGACAAAGAAACAAACACACTTGCCTTGCTCTTGCCAAAAAAAGCTGGGTAACTCCTCCACATACATGGTATCAACTTGTACTGACTTGTTTACAGCAGAAGACCACTTTTGCCCCCTGCCATTCATCTGAATGAAGAAAGTGAGGCTGCAAGGTGGAGATTAAGGGTTTCGGTAACATCGAGCAGAAAATTCAGCTGGATATGGTGTGGAGAGCACCCATCTAAAGCCAACATGCAGTCTCACTGGGAAAGGTTGACTGCAAATCCATCTGACACAGGAATACTGGTAAGCACGCAGCAGACAGAATAAATTCCTTTTCCAGATTCAAACATTTTTCCACAAAAATGTCAGTAAGATGTCAAACTGAACTCAAATGCTAAAGAAGTGTGGCAACAAACCTTCACTGCTGGCAGAGATGCAACAGAAGTAGCAGACTATCCTTCGGCTTAACACAGCCAAACTATTCATTGGGCAGCCTCTGGTGCAGTGGAAAGGTCAGAGCAGCTTGTGGGCAGACACAATGCCAGTGTAACAGAAATGCGTGGAAGTGGGTGGTCAGGAGAACATGTGTGTTTATGAAAGACTTCATTCAGTATCCCGTTTGGAAGTTTTTCATGTCTGAATAGGGAAATATGTCCTTGATAACCTAGCTACCAAATAGATTCTCTTAAGGACATGCAAAACATTACCCTTTGTGGACATATACATCAAGTATGTACAATTTATACTAAGTGGAGTTAAGTTTTCATCTGTTCATCCACCTTTCCCATGTTGGTCTGAAGGCAACTTTCTCAGAAATGAGTAAAACCATATTTCATGATAGAAAAGCATGCTATTTAACTATAGTGACTATCTAAAGCCATATGGCAAATTTTTTGTAACGAGAAATACTGATAGTCTTAAACTTGCTTGAAACATTATTCAAGTTAAGGGCTCTCAGTTCTTTCCAGCTCATGTTATATATACCCTCTCAACCTAAATCTAGTATTTTCATTAAATTGGTATAAATCCACCAGATTCTGAGTCAGAAACTCAATGCAGCGAGTAAAACTTCCCTTTTTTTTCATATGCTAAATCATAATTTTAATAAATATTTATTTTAAGATATGTCTAGAAGACAATTTTGTCTTAAGGACTCCATTTAACTGCACGGCTTTTGTGAAACAGTAAGATAAATACCAATATTCCTACGTTTTCTTACCCAATATATCCAGCTGCCGTAAATGCGTACAGTTAGCAGCAAGCTCCTCAATGTCTGTGTCACACACAGACCTGTTGGCCGTAAGAAAGAGCTTTTGCAAGTTTGGGAGTTTACGTGCAAGGTTTGTGAAACAACCCGTGCTGCTCTGTAACGTAGGGCACCAGCCAAGATCAAGTTCTTCCAAAAGCTGGCAGCCTGAAGCCAATTCTGCTATTCCGCTTTCAGTTATGTTTTTACATCTCCACAAATCCAGACTGCGAAGCTTTTTGCATTTTGCTCCCATCATGCTTGCTATAAGATCATAGTCTTCAATCTGCAAGGAAAGCAAACACTTTGTTTTGTATATCATCTTTCCAGACATACATAGGTGTTTCAAGATTTGCTTGCTAACACATCTACAGATCTCTCTCAAGCATGTAATTTCTAAAGAGCTCTGAAAATTACTTACTGTAGAGTACATTGAGGTCTACTTTCACAAAAGACAAAAGTAAAATACACCCAAGATATAAGGTGCTTTTACAGAATCACAGAATCATAAAGGTTGGAAGAGACCTTTAAGATCAAGTCCAACTGTCAACCCACCACCACTATGACTACTAAACCATGTCCTGAAGTGCCACATCCACGTGCTTTTGAACACCTCCAGGGATGGTGACTCCACCACCTCCATGTGCAGCCTGCTCCAGTGTTACACATTCACTTAATACTAAGGATCAGTGAAAATGCAGTAAAAAGTTTATTTTCTTTGAAAAGTCTTATTTTTGCACAATTTTTTTTAAAATGGGATTAAAACTGGTTTTATGACCATAGGCACTGCAACCATAAGCACATGCAGATTGAAGAAAGAGCTTATTTCCATTCTAGGTTGATTAGTTACTGCATCTCCCTGTGAAAGTCTTATTAGTTACCTTGGGCAGGCCAAAGGGACCAAAACAGGGTCCCACTACACAGGCAGAAGGAAGAATGAAATCTACTACCAAAAACTGTAGGAAGACAAGGACTGTTGGAAAAACAGTCACAGTGCCTTCCTCTTCTGTTCGTGAGACACAGCAGGGAAGGCTGAGCCATTTCTGCTTTGTCACTTGCTTCTTGAACTGTGAGGAAAGTCAGCTAAGTCTCCCTGATGAGTGATCTGGTGTGTCTACCACCTCAGTCAGAAACAAGCCAGAATCCCTCTACACACAACTCTGGCACGCACATGCATTACAGCTCAGGTGAGTGCCCTGCAGGAATTGCTGCTGTCCCCATATTCTCTTTCTTTAAATCAACGAGTGCAGCCAGCTTTTGCTGAAAATATTTATCTCATGGTTATTACTGCAGGATGAGACACAAGCGTTGATCTGCTAGGAATGATGATTTGGTCTGAATAAAAATAAGTCAGTCTTGATTATTAGTTTTGGAAAGAAAAAGTGATTAAGCATATAAAGAATGCCCAAAAATTTAGGAAGAGGCTGAAGAACCATGAGAAAGCATACTAGCTAAGTTTTAGGCCAACTAAACTGGCACATAACCCGTAAGTATGTGACTAAGCCACATTCATCTTGGACCTTTCAAGAGAGTACAGTTTAATTTCAATCTAGCATTTAACATGCCTTTGTGAAACACAAACCCAGATTAAGTTCCAAAGCAAGCGTGTGCACACACATACAGCCCCCAACCCACCCCACCATGGTGTACGTACTCACCATGACGCAGCTGCCCAGGCTGAGGTGCTGCAGCTCCGAGCAGAAGTTCAGAATACTGAGCAGGGCTGTTTGCTGCCACAAGGGAACACATCAGAAGAAAATATGGAAAGGGAAACAAAGAGAAGAGGTCAATTAGACATTAAAGGCTGTCACTGCATTTCCTGAAATACAGCTCAAAACTCTGTTACAGATACCACAAATGCCACTTAATGAGTCCCTGGGTACTCTACTCATTGATTGGCTTAAAGCAACGGTAATCGTTACAAACCTTTATGCAAGTCACTTTGGATGTGGTTTTGCATTGCCCTGAAGATACCTACACACCCATGACCTATCCGCTCATTTCCCACAGGAAAGCTGCTGCAGAAGTGTGGCAAGTTCAAACAACAGGCAAGGCCAGCCCGAAAACACAGAGGGCTGGCGATGTACCAGGAGAACAGCGGAGGCTCTGACATTCGCTGATGGGCTACAGCCTGATGGAACTGCCAATAGAGCTGCGCTGCATCGGGACCAAGCCAGTGACTTTAATGTCACAGAAGTCTTCGTGCTGACAAGGATGCTGACAACCATTGAGCACCTGTCATTACTAGCATGCAGACTGAAACAGATACAATGTGTATTTTAGAGTCATGTTCCTGCCATTTAACACAGCCATTCTTTTCAGAGAGTACTGCATATTGCTCAGCCCGAAACTGGACTGGAACATCAGATGCATCTTACAAAATGTAAAGTACACGACTGTTCTGGTCCACAACAAGGGAAACTTCACGAGGTTTTATTTGTGTTTCTAAGACACAGAAGAGACTCTTCTGCAGTGTCTGTAGCTGTATTTTCTTTTGTAGTTGAAAATACACACAGTGCAAAAAAAGAACACAGTCTGGGATTCACATCACAAATAGTTGTGCATCATCACTTTATTAGGATTTTGTAATCTGTATGAGCTTGAAAATGGCAGTAAGTTTCACAACATATTAACAATACAAGTTGTGGATCTCTACAGGATATACAAGAGTTTCTAGCAGAAAAATAACACCCAAGCAATACACAAGGGACAAAATAATCTACTGCTAATAAGTTGAATTCCTACAAGAACACTAGTCAACAATATTTGTACACATAGGTAGTATGCTTTATACAGTTCTTTAAACTATAAAATTACTTGTTTTCAGAAAGTTTACAATTAAATGCTTCACTTGGTTTTCTCAGTTTGTTATATTCCAATGAAACTTAACAGGAACACGATCCTTTGTCATACCACTATGAAGAAATACCTGATCCTTGCACTGAAAGGCTGGCAGACACAGAAGAGAGACATAGCGTGGAGTACTCATGGAGACCATTTCAGACATCAAATTTAGGTGTCTCCAGGGAGCAATTAAGAGACACCCAACACTTGACGTGCCTGAAACCTCAGCTTCCAACCTGGCCTTCTAAGATTTGATTTCCCAAAGGCAGCCTAAAAGTAGACACTATGAGTAAGCCTTCCTCACATAAATCTTTGCAGAGGTCTTACAAAGCCACTGTCCACTTGCTTGCTTTACTTTCATTCATATTTTTGAAGAAAAAAGTAGCTGGGAAATTAACCACATTAACCAGCAATAAAAAGTCATTATTAAAGAGACAGCACTTAACAACACTTTAAATGTAGTAAATGTGTAAATATCCAATATGTTTTAAATAACTTAATAAGTAAGCAAATTATTCAGGTTTAATGATCCAAATGAAGCAACAAGTAACTCCAGAAGAATGAGACAATCTTTACTATTTAACTCAGTGAAAGCTATGACAACTTAAAAGCAAAATCCCCAAAACCCTCTCTGCAAACCATAAATATCAGAATAAATCAGTCTGTGACTGCATTGCTCTAAACAAGGTTTCTGCAGGTATTCAGGTGACTCCACAGAAAGCAGAATACCTTAATGCATTCCACCTCCATTTCCAGTAATGGTTTCTAGACTGGAATTTAAACACTGGCCTGAAAGGATGGAAAGCAGCAATATCATTCCTTAATTAACACAAACAGTGCAAAAATGAACAGTCACTCTGAACAGCTTGTAGGGTGTGAGATCAATTCCATAATTCCTCTTCTTCAGAGAGGAGTGAAATAGGTAGGAAGAATAATATTCATAGCTATCTTGATTAAATAACTGAGCTACTTTTCTTAACTTGAACAGGAATTTGATGCATCTCAGAATACCTTTTTTAGTCTAATTTGAGGCACTCCTTCCTGCACTGATATGCACCAAGTTCACATTTTCAGAGATCTCTTCACAACCTATAAAACCTAAAGTATTATTTTAAATGGTTATTTTTAAAAAACGCTTAAAAAAAGCACTACGAATGTGGGTAATAGAAGGGAGCTTGGTAGAACACCATGTCATACCATCACAAATCATGCAAAGTCAAGTCCAAAAGTAAACAGCTACTTACTCAACATTAATTATAGCAGCTATATTAATTCCTCTTCTGAGGTACATACATGCCCACACACAACAGATTACATTTCTTTCAGAGGCAGCGTCTGTTCTTCTCTAACAGAGGTGGGGTATGCATATGTCAAGAAAGAAAAAAAACCCCTTTGTGCATGCCTAGTTGTGCCTCAGTCAACTGAGAATCCAGGTGGCAAAGGACATGAAAATAGCAGGAGAGAATGGCAGCTCACAGAATCCATATGCACCACACATAGGACTATTGTAATAACCTGCCTGTTTCCAGCCATCTGTCTGTAGAATTCATCTCTCTGACTTGCAATATAAGACGAGCAGTAACACTCTTATTTAAGCAAAGGAGAAGAGTGAGGCACTCACCCGATCCTGAAGCTGTAACACAGGCCAAACTGCAGATGTTAGATTGCTTCACAAGGGGAACTAAGAGGCCACCTAAATTCTGGATCAGCAAGCTTTAACCTGGAGAGAGTCTAATTTCACTTTCTCAGCCAAGCAAAGGTAGTCAAATCAACAACCACCCATGTAATACTATTCCTGAGTCTAGTAGTCAAGACATGCATAGTTTGGAGCTTTTTTGAGTTTTCCCTGAACCAATGGTAAGGGTTGGCTTCGTACCTGCTCCCCTTTACACAGACTGAGAAGAGAGTGGTGATTAAAAAAACAAAACCATACAAACAAAACAACAAAACAAAAACCAGCAAACAACCAAAAAACAAATACTGCCCCTCCAATAAAAAAACCCAACCAACCCTAAACAACAAAAAACCCAACACAAAATCAACAAAATTTAAAAAAAAAATCCAAAACCAAACCAACCAACCAACCACCCTGGAAACAAGCTTAAGGTAAGAATTACTTTTTTGCTGTAGAGCTGCTTTAAGAGAGAAGACTCTGATGGTAAACTGATCAGAAAAATAGAGAGCAGAGCAGATTACAGAAACATTTTAAGGCATGGCAGTTAGTTCTAAACCTCAGAAAAGGTAAGCACACTGCCTGAAGTCTCTGAAGTCTTTACGAGCAGGTCAGACATCCCTCAGAAAGGACATGAACAGAGTTGACCCTGCCTTGGACAAGAGAAGAGATGAGATTACCACTTCAAGTCCAAACTTACTCCACATCAGACAGGTGAGAGGTCAGCTCAAACATGAAAGTCCTCCACTCTGTAATATAGGCCGGCTAGGAAGACATTTGTGTGTTGTGTATATTTCACCCAAACAGCTGATAGTAGACTACCTTGTAAACTACCTGCCTCTGTAAAGACCTTCCACATAACAGTTAAGTTCTGACTTCAATGTTGCAAGAGCATTGCTGGTTTGAACAGACAATCCATCAGTGGAGAAACCAAAATCTGCTGTCAGAGTAATACACCTGGCAAGACTGAATCTTGTTTGATTATTTTCAGGATTTTTTGCATACATGATCCAGCAAGAAGTGCAAATCATTTCTGATGTCAGTATGATAAGGAAAGCGTCCAACAGATAGCCTGAGCTCAATATCCGTTCAAACAGAAAACCCTTCTGCCTGTGGCAGATTTGGCTCACTTGTGAAAGATGCACTTTGAATATTTGATCATTTACTCATTGCAGTTTCATTGTCAAGTAATCCAAGATTTAAAAAAAAAAAAATAAGAAGTTTTAAAAATACAAATGATGCACTACAATATGGCTATCACATAATGGCTGCACTATAATACAAGGCATGAAAATAAGTGCACCATTGTGCCTCTGGAAGATTAAAGGAAAAGCTTCAGAAAAACAACTAAGATTTGCTTTTAGGGATATAGGGAAGAAATAGTCTGCCTCTTTTTATAAACTTTCTTTCTATAGAGAAATCTCAAAAACTACTTTTAAATTGTTACTTTTTATGCTGGGAAGATTGGGCTGATTTTTCCCCCTTCTCAGAAGAACTGTGTTTGACACAAGTTGGGAATTCTTCCAGCCCCTCAATGAAACAATTTGAGAGTCTAACTCTTTTACAAAGCTTTTATTCTCTTGCAATTTTTTCAAATTTTTCAATTAAGTGAATGCTAAAGAAAATAATCTTAAAGTATCACTGCAGACTCCCTTTTTAAAATATGGTTCCCCTTGCTTGCTATGTTTTCAATCATAATTCCTAATTCTCCAGTTAACTACTTTGTCCAAGAAAAAAAATTTAATTATGCAAGACTTAAATTTTGGAGTTTTAACATAAAAAAATTAAGGTAGAGGTAGAAAAAAGATTGCTTTAATCCCCATCCCCACCCCTCAACTGCATTATATAAGAGAACAACCAAAGTTGTATTATTTTTTCTTATCACTTCCAAATGACGATCTCATCTCTAGCCCTCCCTGTACTAGCCCCCCGAACCCTGTTGTCTCCACTTACGTTCAAATACTTATATAATGCTAGTTGCAGGCAGATATCAGATAACATGCCTACATCTGCAAGCTCACCACAACAAGAATATTGCATTTTCCCACAATATCAAAGAATTAATATAACAACATTACTAAATACTACAATTTCTTATTCATATTTCAGTAACTTATCTCTCCATCAAAAAAAATGCATCTTGAAGAGTCTTTGCGGTGAGTTGCTTTTGCATACAAATTTATGAGGTTGTTCTATTTAATAACAGGTTCTATC